CGCAGATGTTTATGGATGGATACAAGTGAGATGCACACGCATAAGTGGGATTTTATTTACCATAAAGACAATGAAATTCCATCACTTGTAGCAATGGGAAAATTTTAAATGAGATAAGTCAGACACAAAAAAAACAAACACCAAACATTTTACTTAAATGCAGGAGCTGACAAATTGTAGCTTGTACAAGTAGGAAGCAGAACAATGGTTTCTAGAGGGGAGGAAAGGACATGAACAAATGCTAATAAGTACAAAGCACAGCTGTGTAGAAAGAATGAGTTTTAATGATCTGTAATACAGCAGGTATCAATGGTGGGTAGCATTCAATTGAGTATTATACAAGGGATGATAGAGAAAATTTCAGATGTTCTCAAAACAAATGATCATGTCTAAGGGGATGTATATACCAACTGACCTGGGCTGATAGTATCATTTGTAAAAAACACAATGTAGACAGGTACTGAAATATAACACTAGAGCCCACAATGAACATGCATTTATTTTGCAAGAAAATCAAGTATATTTTCAAAACGTTAATAAGTAATACTAATAACACAACCGTTGTGATAACACTGTGTCCAAGGAACTATTAATACAGCAACTCATTTAATAGTCATAACAATTTGTAAGCCGGGTACTATTATACTACCCTTTCCAAAGTAGGAGGTAATGAACCAATGTCTCCTGATCAAATGGCTAATAAAAAGCAAAATGGAGAGATCAATGTGACCTATTTGGGTCCTGAATAAATAATTATTATAAATTAATAATTTATGACAAGTGACTTGTTCTAAAATGAGATATGGTTTGGGAAAAACAAGTCTAGATCAGTCAAGAAGTATGGAATGTGGTATTTTTGAGCAGTCTTTGTCTTATATTTGAAGTTTAAGTGTAGTGAAGAATGGACTCATCTGCCTGTGGCTTTGCAATAAATATTCCTGTGGTTGTAGACATGTAGTCACACTAATCACTATAACAGTGATGACAGGAGCAGCGCCAGGTATTCAAGTATTGCATCATTCCACAATTTCCAGCAGCTCTTGCGATCAATTTGGCCAGGTATTTGGTTTTGAGAAAAGGAATGAAGAGATAATAATGTGCTTATGGACAAAGTGTGGCAGTGTCTTATCATTCTCTCCCTTTCTCCATGTAGCAAGAGATAAGAACCGCAGGATGGTGCAGTCAGATGCTGGAAACTTCCTGGATTTCTACAGCACTGCTTGGAAAGGAGCACAGGAAAGCCACTGACCATCAGCATCCAAATTTGACTAAGTGCAGACACAAATTGCATGTGAGCTGCTTTTATTAATAAAGAAAACCATGTTTCTAATGTACTTATTTTCAGTTTATATATTTTACTTTCACATTAGTCTACTGAATGCCTTTTTTTTTTTAAAACTCCTTTCTTAACACTTTATTGCCAGTGAACAGTTTTAAATGACTTAAAAAAAACCTCAAAGCTATCTGAGTTACTTTTTTGATTTTTGAAGTACACAAAAATTCTCCACTATAATATCTGTATGT